ACGTTATGCGGCAGCACTATATTCAGCAGCTTCCAAAGACAAGCAGCTCGATACCATCGATAAAGATATGAAATCGTTGCAAAATGTCTACAATACCAGCTTGAAATTCAAGGTTTTCTGGATTTTATTGTTAAAGCCAGTATCAGTAAGAATTTATATAACCCATCTTCCTAGGGAATCCAGGAAATTCTTGTTCCGTTAATCTCTGCTATGCTTTTCTTAGAGGTGATACTTGCAGTATATTTATCAGGCCAAGATGAAAAGGCAACGAAAATTCATAATCATGATTATTTTCGACAATCGGTACTATGATAAGATCACGCAAAATAAACTGACATGAGATAATTACTGATAATCATAGTAGTACCAGCATCTTGATCTTGATATTACTATGATTATCGCATATCAGCTTGTTCTGTGTTATCTACTAGTATAATGACAGTTAGAAAAATCATGATTACTTTGCCCTACAACAAGTTAGTGCCTTCGCAGTCTCGTATATTGTTGTGGTTGGGCGATAATCGATGCGAATCATTTGCGTATTCTTGAAAATGTGTCGCGGGAATCGTAATCATGATTTTATCTCAGCCACCATTACTGATCATTATAAGGATTTATTTGACGTGATTTGTCGATGATTCAAAAGAAATCATAATTATTTAAGATTATTTCACAACAGACTCTGTATCCATGCGTCCTGATTGTTCCTAGCACAGTTCCTCTGATAGGTGATTGGAATTTTGTTACATTTTCATGAAAGGGTTCGAAAATCATGGTGATTTTTGATCGTTATCATGACTGAGATTATCAGTGTCCGTCATATACTAGTATAATTAATTAGTTCAATGAAGATTATTAAAAGTGATTAAGATTTTTGTAAAAAATCATGCAAGAATATATTGCCACATCATCATTATAGAGCATTTAAAATATAAATTAATAACCACTTGCCATTTAAAGTACATAAATATATGCTTTCGCTAAAAAATTATTTTTTATTTCAGGTATCTTAAGTACACTTTTCCGGTAAAAAAAAAAATATGTTTTTCATCCCAAGTATTTGAGTACATGTTATTACTTTAAAAAATTTTATTTTTAATTTTGAGTATCTGAGAATATATTGCTACCTAAAAATTGTATTTCCCATTTCGGGCATTTAAATACATGTTCAAAAATTAAAGGTCTACTTAATTTAAAAATTCTACTAAATTTAATTTAAAATTTGTCATGTTTTGCGAAAATTTGTCATATTTTCTCTGTACACAAATTGGATAATTTTTCAAATGATTTATATAATTTTGTGAACGATTTATAGATTAAGTAATTTACATAATGCGTAAGGTTTTTTTTTTTTTTTGATTTTTCTCAGTGCTCAAAAATGAGGTTTTTTTTTTTCAGGAATTTGTGCTCAATCCAACATTAACTCCATTGATCAAAGTGAACACTGTCAAGGACATTGCCAAAAGCTTAAGTATAAGCAAGGGAACGCTCAATTTTTTGGGTTTGTTTTGACACCACTCATAAGTTATTCTTTAATAAGGTTTTTTTTTTAAATAATTTTATTAATTTACAAATTTTGTAATTCTCATCTCTTACTTTCCTTTCTGTTCATCTCTTTTCATCCGTTCCTGTTAATATATATTTTCCTATGAGCAATTTCGCCATCTGCTACTGGAGAAGTATTTGTGCTGAATTCTTCCTTCGTTCTTCCAAGGATAGGTGCTAGATGTGTAGCATTCCTTTTGCCGCCTGTGAATTTCTTCGGATTACCTCTTCCAGAACGGCCACCATCAATGGTAGGGACAACTGATACGGGAAAAGAAGTAATAAAACGAAGATTTCGGTGCAAAAGTTGGGTTATAGCACAAGAATGTATGGCATTTTTGCAAAAGCATGTGACGCAAGACAACAGTTCTGTATTAAAAAGTTAATTTTCGTATGATTTTTCTCAAAACTGCCGAAATTCTAGTACGATATAACGGTTTTTAGTACAGATATACATTTATTCATCAAACAAGACATCCGTAAGTGCAATGCGTTTGATGAAAATGGGCACGTCCCGCCGAATCACATGTTAAGGCAGTTTACGTGACCAAGAATTATATTTTTGTTCATTTTTCAAGGACTGTGATTTATTCATGGAGTTTTAGGCGATCCTTCAGGACTTTGATTTATTTGTGGATTATTTTTATGCTTTTCACTGGCTTCCTCCATCATTTTTTGCGCTCGTTGCGCCTTCATCGCTCTCTCGTAAACTGGGCCATAATGCATTTTGTACCACTATAATTACAGTGATAGTTGGATTTTTCTTTTTTTTTTTTGGTATTTTTACCCAGAAATAATCGATAAATAGATAATCTACTAGTCGCATTACC